CAGAGGTCGTCCTCGGCGTAGCGGACCACCGCCCTTCTGCCTGGGATCAGCTACGACGACGATGCCCTGGGGACCAGCGCAATCGGGTTGGCCTCGAGCGCCCTGCACCTGCGTCACCAGTCGCCCGAAGCAGTGGCCCACGATCAGCCCGAAGACCGCCGGGCTGAACGCGGCCGACCAGCCGACGCAGCCCTCTGCGGCCTCCCGCAGCGCCCCCACGAGCGCGTCGCACGGCGCGTCGGACGCGCCGACCACCCAGGCGGCCCCCCTCGGCCGCCGCCCCGCCAGGCGGCCCCGACTCGCTGCAGGTCCCCCTGCAGGCGCAGTTGCGCGCGGGGCAGGGGGGGCAGGCGGGGCGCGCGGGCGAGATGGGGCAGCTCGGCAGCGGCGCCCACGAGGCCCCAGCGTGGAAGTCTGCTCGGGCTATCTCGCGAACGCCCGACGCCCCGGCCTCGAGGCGCGGGCGGGAGGCCTCCTTCTGCCCTGGAAAAAGACATGAGCACGGGCCATGGAATGGGCGGCAGCGGCAGCGACGACGAGGGATTCAACACGCGTGGAACACTTAACTCCTTCTTTGTTATCGCAAACAACACAATCTGAGGATTGAGGTCCGCCCGGCGCCAAAAAGTGGGACGCGCCCGCCCGAGTGGGCGGGGGGCGCTCGGCCGCGGATCGTGGAGTGGGAATTCCCCCGCGAAGTTGGGCCCCCAGGGCCCGCGGGGCCCTTGAACGGACCCCGCGCGCCCCGGAAGCGGGCCACAGGCCAGCGCTGGCGCAGCCGCCCCGTCTGAGAGAAGAAGATGGATCATGATAGCAACAAGAAGAATACTGACTGGCACTGATACTTTTACTACTAATAATCACCAGAAGAAGAATATCATAATAATAAAAGAATCATCAGAATAATTTTTCAGAAGAAGAAGAATAATAATAATAATAAGAAGAAGAAGCAAACGCGCCGCAAACCGCGCGAGGCGCCGGAGGCGCCGCCGGGGGGGGCATGCGCGGATCCGCGAAATCCGAGCGGAGCGCCGAACATTTTGGTGCATGGCGTGTTTCTTTCTTCGACCGTCGGCGAGGCCCCATGTCCGCCGGCGCTCCCGCCGGGGGCGGCTTGGACAGCCAGTCGCCCACTTGGGGCCCCTGGGGGGCCCCCGCAGAAAACGACCTACAGCGGCGCCGCGCGCGGGGAGAGGCCGCGGCCCGCGCCTGCCGGGGGGGGGGGGGGTATTCACGAAAGTGCAAGCAGCCACGCCGCCCCCAGCCTCGAACGGCCGCGCCCTCCTGCCGCCACCCCCCCCTCCCCTCCCCGAACCCAGCGCCCCCGCGTCCTCCGCCTCCGCGACCCCCCCCCCATCTCGGCACGAGCAAAGCAGGCGCAGCCCCGCGCGCTGCCGCAGCGGTCAGAGAGGGGCGCAGGGCGCCGACCGCGTGCCGACCCTGCGCTCCCGACTGCCAGGGGGCAGCCGACGGCGAGGGCAGAGCAGCGCTGGCCAACTGCGCGCGCGGGCCCGGCCTCCGCAAGGGCGGAGGGCGAGCGCCTCGCCGCGGAGGCCCCCGGGGCGCGCGCGGGGCCGACGTGAAAATGGGGAACGAAACTCGTTCCGATGCTGGAATCAGCGCCCGCTGGGCGCCCAATCTCCAAAGCGCCGGCGGCGGGCCCAGAGCCGGGCCGCGGCCTCGGCCCGCGACGGCACTCGCCGCGGCTTCCCGCCACCCGCCCACCGCGCCCGCGGATGGGGTGGGCGGGGGCGCCGCGCGCCCGAGCTCGGGGGCGCCGGGGCCGGCCTGGGGCCGGGGCGCGGGGATGTCTTTGGCCTGCGAGAGCTCTCGCCGCCGCTTCCCGCCTCCCCCCGGCAGCATCCGCAGCGCATTCACGTCGCGGGGCCGCGCGGGGCCCCGCGGGCGGGCGATCCCGCTGATGAGCTCGTCGGGGGTGATCTTGCCATCTGCGTGCTCTGAGTCGATCAGATCGAACAGGAGCTTGATGTCGCTGACGTCCAGGTTGATCGAGGCGAGCCACATCCTGATGAGGGGGTTGGTGAGGACGAACGTGAACTCATGACGACCAACACATCCATCTCCATTTCTATCCGCGCGCTTGATCAATGCCTCCTTCTTCTTGCGGTGCGTTCTGTCAGCTCGCTTCTTCTGTTCCACCATTCTGCTGTTGTTCATCACTATCGCCGTAGATGTCTCTTGCGTGAAAACAGCGTTCCACATGCCGACTAGTGCAAAACCCACTGTCAGCTCATAGACAATCACAAACGCCATCCACCCTTCATGGACTTCGTCCTGGAGGAAGCGTCTGATTTCTGGCCAATTTGCAAGGGCGAACTCGAGCAGCAACATCATGCTCCGCCTGTACGCGCCAAACTATAACCACACCTGGTGATTCAAATGCTGGTCCAGGTCCGGATTGGTCCTGGAACCCATCTCGGCGCACCAGCCGAAACGATTGCCCAAAATGCTGCCCCTGTACTGCTCCTCGATGGGCACGAACACCGAGCTGATAACTATGCACGCCAGCCAGACGTCCCTCGCCCGCCGGGCGTGCTTTCCCAGGGCGCGTTGGTGCTGCTCCCGCGGCGGCATCTCATGTCTCGCGAGCGCCTCATGGATGTCCCTCGACTCCTCCGCCTCGAGGTCCGACGGCACGGGGGCCACGGTGGAAATGGCCGCCCATTTCGCCCGCGCCAGCGAAAGCAGGCTCTGCGGCGGGGATGTATTCGAGCATCTCCGCCGCGAGGCCTTGGATCACGGCATTTGCGGGCGCAGCGGGCTCAGCGAGGTCGCCTCCTCGGCGCCGCCGCCGGCCCCCGCCAGGGCACGCTCCAGCGCGCCGCTGCTCTTCGCAACCGTCGCAATGGCCACTTCGCGAGGCACCTCCTCCGCCGCCAGCAGCCGCCCCAGCAACTGCAGGTGCACCCCGCGCAGGCCGAGGAACTCCGCGCAAGGCTCGCTGGGCGGCGCCTGCTGCGGGGGCGCGCGCTGGGGCGGCGGGGGGGCCCAGCGGCGAGCCGGCTGGCCCGAAACCGGGGCCGAGAGGCCCAGCGTCGGCGGAGGCCGCGAAGGAGGGCCGCACGCTTGGCGGGACGCATGCCGCCTCCTCGCACTCCGCCGCCGGCTCTGCGGGAATCGCCATCGCCGGCGCCCGCCGGCGGGGGCTGCCGACTCGAACCCAGATGGGGGACTCTTCGGTGCCTGGCTTGAGCCAGAATGCAAGCAAGGACGCTTCGCCACTGCTCGACACGAGTTGTCCTTGTCCCGGCCCCGTCCGCTCCGTGCCTCGGGAGGGGCCGCGGGCCGTCCAGCCGCGGGGCTCGAAGGGATCTGTCGCCGTGGGGAGAGCCCACAAGCCCTGGGGCTCTCCCCGCGGCTCGCGAGGGGGGGACCCTCGGCCTTGCGCCGCGGCCTTGCGCGCAGCGAGCGGCCTTGCGCGCAGCGACAGGGCCGAGCAGGCCTGTAGCAGCAGTGGCAGCAGTCGCGCGCGCAGGGCTGGCCAAAAATAGTCGAAACATCGTCCCGAGACTGTGCTTTGACTATTCTTTGAACATTCTCCTCCTGTAGAGGGACACGCCCGACTCACTCCTGGCGGCCTCCGCCCCCTCTCGGCTGCACGCAGGAGAGGCCTCTTGGCAGGAGGGGCCCTGGCTGCGCGGCCCACGGGGGGCCCTCTGCGCACTCCGCCCCAGGCGCGCCCGCCGCTGCCATCGCACGACGCTCAGCGATCGGCGGGCCCCGGTGGGCCCCCACCCCAAAAAGGCCACTCCGGCGAGGCGCCCTGGCGCCAACCTCCTCGGCTGTGGCCGTGGTGCCGCCCCGCGCCCACTGCCCTGCGGTGCCGCAGCCCGGGCCGGCCGCACGGGCGCGCTCGCCGTGGAGCTCTCTCTCACCCCTGCGCGAGTGCCCTCCTCCCCCTCCCCGTGCTCGCTCCGCAGCCGCCCTGCCTGCCCGCGCCCCCTCTCCCCTGCACCTGGGCAGCTGCTTGGTCGCGACAGCCCCGACCACTGCGAGCGCCCGTGCGGAGGGCCTCCGTGCCGTGCCGCGACGAAGCACAAAGTGTAGCCGGCTCCCCGGGGCCTCCACGGGTCACGGGGCGGCCGTCCCAAGGACCGCCTCTGGACGCAGGGGCCGGTCCTCCGGAAGGGCTCCCCCGACCTCCGGGGGGGCTCACGCTGCGACGGACCCTGGACACCCAAAGGGCCTCCCCCCCCACCCATCGGGCCAGCGCCTCCTGCCGGACGGCCCCGGGGCCCGTGGATAAGACGAAGCCTAGACGAGGAAAACATCGGGGGAGGACAGAGCGAGAATCTCGGAATTCTGGCGGCTCTGGACGATGTCTCGGGCGCCGCGGCCCTCTCAGAGCGCCCCGGAGCGCTCTGGAAGCGTGCCGGAGCGCTCCGGAAAGGACGCTTCCTCGTCCGAGCCCCGTCCGAGTGGAGGGCGCCGACGGCGGCGAGAGACCTCCAGGACGCGTTTCCCTCAGGCCACCGCCCTCACCCTCGTGTTGGGTCGGGCATGTCCCCTCACAGGGGGACATGCCCCCGACCTTTTGATAAAAGAACAGTTTCTAAATGTTCCTTCTGTCCAGGGACACGCCCGACTCAAACCTCTCGGCGAGGAAGAATTGCCCCACCCACGCCGCGGCGGCTGCCCTCCGCTGGAACCAGGGCCGCACACCTCTCACCCCCGAGCGCTGCTCTCACGGGCAGGGCCGCGGGGAGCTGGCATCACTCGGTGCTCTCACGGAGGCCCCCGGCCGACCGCTGGGGTAAGCTGGCAGTCGTGTCATCTTGCACTCGCCACCGCTCGGACATCCATTCCTCGTGTATTGTTCGATGTCGTGCGTGTTTTTTTTCGCCAAATGATCAAGGATGGTCCTCGATGGCCGTCGCCGAGAAACAAATGCACGCGTCCGAGCGATGCCAAGTGAACGCTGTCATCCCGCAGTGGGCAGAGTGCGAGCACCGACTGCCGCATCCAGGGCATGGCGGCGCCTGAGAACGCCTGCTCGGAGGACCTGCTCCAGCGCCTGCTCCTCGAAGGGCTCCGCGGGGTGCGCGGGGTGCGCTCGCCTGGGAGCGGCGGGCTCTTGCGTCACGGGTGCGCGGCGTGCAGTAGAGAGGCCCCACACGGGGGACGCGCGGGGACTTGTCCACACAACCGCGGCCTGGGGGATCGACTGTCGGGGACCTCGATCGGCGATGGATTGTTCCCCAAACCGTGCTTGCACCCCAGACCCCCGACGTCATGTTTTATTTGTTTTTTTTGTGTTGTCTCACGACGTCGACCCCAGGAGGTCTCGTCCCATTCCCCGGGACCGGTTTTTCTTCCTGAATCGGTTTTGGCGGTCCCGAGGCCCAGTGAGGGCCCCCAGAGGCCGAGAATAGCGCAAAACCTTCCGTCGTGGTTGTTTCATGACTCGAGGGGGTCTTGCACTGGGGGCCCTGAGCTCTCTTCGTCAAGGTGGTAGTTGGCTGGTATGTATGTTCCTTTCGCAGGGGCGCCTCGCGGGCGCCCCGCACGCTGGGGGGGTGCACGCCGAGGTGGCGCCACGCTGCTGGCCGTGCCGCCTCGTGGGCGCCCCGCACGTTGGGGGAAGGCACCGAGACACCGTTGGGAAGAGGAGGAGGAGGAGGAGGAGGAGGAGGAGGAGGAGGGAGGGAGGAGAGGAGGAGGAGGAGGAGGAGGAGGAGAGGAGGAGGAGGGAGGAGGAGAGGAGGAGGAGGAGGAGGAGAGAGGAGGAGGAGGAGGAGGAGGAGGAGGATGGCCTCTTGGAGCCGTCTTTGCGGCCTCGTGGGCCGTCTTGGAGAAGGAGGAGGAGGAGGAGGAGAAGGAGGAGGACGAGGACGAGGAGGACGAGGACGAGGACGAGGAGGACGAGGAGGACGAGGAGGACGAGGAGGATGAGGAGGAGGAGCAAGGCACCGAGGCTGCGCCACGCTGCCGCCCGCACTGCCTCGAGGGCGCCCCCTTATGGGGGCCTCATTGGGCGCCTCGTGGGCGCCCCACGCTCGGGGGGCAGGCGCCGAAGCCGCGCCACGCGGCGGCCCCGCTGCCGCCCCGCGGGCGCCCCGGGCTCCGAGCTGCTGCGCGACCTCGCTCTCTCACCGCGCAGCTTGCACCACAGCGCTCGCGGCAGACGGACAGACGGGAACGACGACAAACGAGAACGACAACACACAACAGCAACAGACCGAAGCGAGAGAGAGAGAGAGAGAGAGGAGGGAGGAGGGAGAAGGAAAGGGAGGGACAAATAACGAGAGGAGGACAGGGCGAGCAGAAAGGGGCGCAACAAAAAGAGAAACAACGACAAAGAACAGCAGACAGAAAGACCGCTAACGCTGCCAAATCGCGGAAAAAACCGGAAAGAGTGGGCAGCCCCTTTTTTCTGCGGTCGAGGTGCAACTCATCAGACCCACCGCCAACTTTGAACATTGGGGGGAGGGGGAGGTGTTCACAGGTGAATGTGGTGTTCCAGATAATACGTGGGCTTTTTGAAAAAGTAGGATTTTAAAAGACATGACTAATGTATGAATAGATGCATGCATGAACTCATCGTTGTTTTTAAAACTGAATCCCTGCATTTTTAATACACGATCCGCACGCGGAGCATGCATTGAAAACGGCACTGTACACCACAGCGCTCGCCCCGCGGACCCGCCGACCCTGTCGGCGTGTGCGATGTGCTTTTCCGTTTGAGCCGTCGTCGCCGTCGCCGCTCCCCCTCCTGTCCCCGGGCTCTCCTCCTCAAGCTCGCCAGCCGAAGCGAAATGAAGCATCGTCGTAATTGAATCGGAAGGAAGCTCCTTCCCTTTGATCCCTTCCTCTGCCAAGTGGGGGGGTCGGGGGTGGGTCCCACGTCAGACCCAGGGGGGGGGGGGGGCCAGGGTCAGAATACCATCCCCCCCTGGGGGTCCCGGAGCCCAGACAGGCCCCAAGACAGGCCAAGTGTGCCCCAAGAGGCCCCAAAGACGGTCCAAGAGGGCCCCGCATCGCCGAATCGCCGAACGATCGGTCCAAGACTCCCAGGATAACCTCCAGGCGGCCAAGAGGCCTGCAAGGCGCCCCAATAACCTCCGAGAGCACTCCCAAGAGGGCCCCAGGAGCCAAATTTCATAGGCTGCCCGTGACTAGGTCTTGGCAGATCCGGGTGTTTTCGTTTTTTCGGCTCCCCCACGCTCCAAGACGACCCATGCGGCCCCAAGATCGCCCCAAGACGGCCCAAGAGGCCACCCAGAGGGCCCCAAAACTAGGGGCAAAACAAACCTACCTCGCTTTTGACCACCCTCGCTTCCAAGAGATACCAAACGATGCCAAACTACGGCCTGTACTGGCCCAGCCGCTTGACGAGGAGGCGCGTGGTATGACTTGGTTCTGCCTGGAAGCGAAAGCGGGGTCTGTAATTCACGCTCTAAAAAACGAGCCAAGAAGTTGGACCAGAAGCTTCCAGGACGGCCCACAAGAGGCCTCCAAAGGCGGCCCACGAGGCCGCCGTAACGACGGCTCCACGAGGGTGCTCCGACGGGGGACCCGACCGCACATTTGTCGACCCCATCGGCCCCGAGAGGCTCCCACGAGGCCCCAAAACTGCCCCCCGAAAGGTCCCCGAGAGCGCTCCAATGAAGGGGGGCACACACACACACACACACACACACACACACACACACACACACACACACACACACACACACACACACACACACACACACACACACACACACACACACACACACACACACACACACACACACACACACACACACACACACACACACACACACACACACACACACACACACACACACACACACACACACACACACACACACACACACACACACACACACACACACACACACACACACACACACACACACACACAACACACAACACACAACACACACACACACACAACACACAACACACAACACACACACACACAACACACAACACACAACACACAACACACAACACACACACACACACAACACACACAACACACACAACACACACAACACACACAACACACACACCACACACACACACATTCACACACACATTCACACACACATTCACACACACACATTCACACACACACATTCACACACACATTCACACACACATGAATACACACAAATAAAACAAATCCCCATATTTCCCCATATTTTCTGGGTTTCTGTCTTCCCACCCACTTCCCATATTTTCGCATATGTTCTGGGAGTCGACGAATAATTGTGTCTGTGTGTTTTTTCCCTCCTGATCCAAAGAGACCCCAAGAAGCATCCCTGAGGACTCCGACTCACGTTAGCGTCGTCGTCGTCGTCGTCGCCACCGCTGTCGTCGCCGTCCCCCTTTAGGGTCGGCGGCGCCTGCCGTAGGGCCTTCGCAATATTGAACAACTTAGTTTACATCGCATAGCCTGCAACCCATAGCTGACACCTCCAGTTCACACCGCCTAGCTTCCACGATATAGCTTGCACCACATAACTTTCAACTCCTCAGCTCATACCAAATAGCTTTTACGCGACATAGCATCGCCACATAGCTTACGCCATATAGTTTACACCGCACACATTGCATAACCTAGCTTTCACAACACGTATTACACAACATAACTTTCCACTCCAATCCACGCCACCTGGCTTCCATGAGACAGCTCCCACCAGACAGCGTAAACCGGATAGGCTCCACCTTCCCAGCTAGCACTACACAGCTTGCACGACATGGCCTTTACCACAGAGCTGGCACTGCACAACTTGCACTTCCGTCGTACATTAGCACACTGTTTGGGGCTCACGCTGGCTAGCATGTGCGTGCATATGCAGATGCCCCCCCCCCCGGAAGGCCCGACTACATGCCTATGTCCACCGCCCCTGCCGACGCCACCCCAAATCGATCCCCCTCGGCCGTGGTCATGGCTGGATCCCCGCCTCGGACCACAAGAGCGAAGCACCTCCAATGCGCGCCCCCCCCCAAAAAACAGAAAAACAACGACAGGCCCTGCCGAGCCGCCCGCGGCGACGGCGCCGCTCGAAAAAAACGACCCCTACTGGGGCGGCGAGGCCGCGACCGGACGACACCGGCATGCCGCGAGCAGCCCCGAGGGGCGAGTTCGACGCAGCAGCGACCCGACAGTCGTGAAGGGGCCCTGGGACACACAAATAAATACACACGAATAAAAAGATTTCCCATATTTTCCCATATTTCCCTACCTAGGCTCTGCCTAGAGGGTTCTTACTCTCTTAGCTTAAAGGGGCCGGGCAGTGCACAACGCCCCAGGCGGTTCCCCCAATCCCCGCCCCGCGGTTCCCCCAGTTGCGCCCCCTGGGTTCACCCAGCTTGGCTTGAATAAGCTTAGCTTAGCTTAGCTTAGCTTAGCTTAGCTTAGCTTATCTCACCTTAGCTTAGCTTAGTTTAGCTTAGCTTTGCTTGGCTTAGCTTAGCTTAGCTTAGCTCAGCTTATCTTATTTTAGCTTAGCTTAGCTTCGCTTACCTTACCTTTTTCTCATCTTAGCTTAGCTTAGCTTAGCTTTGCCTAGCCTAGTTTAGCTCAGCTTTAGCTTAGCTTTAGCTTTAGCTTTAGCTTTATCTTAGCTTTAGTTTTGGTTTAGCTTTAGCTTTAGCTTAGCTTTAGCTTAGCTTTAGTTTTGATTTAGCTTATCTTTGGTTTAGCTTTAGCTTAGCTTTAGCTTTAGCTTTAACTTTAGCCTTAGCTTTAGCTTTAACTTAGCTTTAACTTAGCTTTAGCTCAGCTTTAACTTAGCTTTAGCCTAGCTGTAGCTTAGCTTTAGTTTAGCTTTAGCTTAGCTTTAGCTTAGCTTCAGCTTAGCTTCAGCTTAGCTTTAGTTTAGCTTTCAGTAGCTTTAGCTTAGCTTTAGCTTCGCGTTAGCTTAGCTTTAGCTTAGCTTTAGCTTAGATTTAGCTTAGCTTTACCTCCGCTTTACCTCAACTTTAGCTTAGCTTTAGCTTAGCTTTGGCTTAACTTTAGCTTAGCTTTAGCTTCGCTTTAGCTTAGCTTTAGCTTAGCTTTACTGTTCCTACTCTTGCTGCTTTCCTAGGGGCTCCAACTCCTAGGTAGGGTCGCACTGGGATAAGTTCTGGGTTTTCGTCTTCCCCCCCACTTCCCATATTTTCACTTACTTTCCTGGGGATCGCCGGTGAATTGTGTCTGTGGGTTTTTTCCCCTCCTGAAGTCATCGGAGCCGAGAGGGCCCAACGCAGCCGGCGGCGACGCGGCCGGACCAGCGGCCGAACCGCGAACACCCTCGCTGTGCCAGGGTGGACATCTTCCAGGGGAGGGGCCGTCAGCGGGAGCACGGAGTCTCACCGTGAAGCTCAGCATTGAGCCGGACCATGGGCCAGCGCAGTACGCTCAGACCCTGGAGCCAGCCATATTTTCATATCGCAGGTGGTGTCCTGGAGGAGCAGCTTTCGGGCAGAACTGCCTCTCGGACTGCGCACCCGAGTCGTTCAGAGCACCGAGGCGGCTGACCCAGCTGTGTGACGCGCGGTGTCCTGCATGTCCGCACACCGGGAAGAGCATCGCGCCGCACCCTCGGCCCATGCCCCTCCATAGTCCGTCCGCTGGTCCATGCCCTCCGCCTGCTGCTCTTGGAGCGGCGTGCCCCTCTTTATCGGCCTCGAGCGTCGCCCTACCCCCCAATGTGCACAAGCCCAAAGGCGATGGCAGTCTTGGGGACGCGCCCTCAGAAGCTGAGGGAACCCCTGGGATCGGCACAGAGATAGGATGATCCCTATCACAGGGAGAAGGGTATTCTCCAGTCTGGTAACCTCTCTCTCTCTCTCTCTCCCCCTCCCGTTCCGCCTCCTCCCTCTCCTGCTGCTCAGCATCCTCCCGTCTCCGCCTCGGGGGCGGGGGGCGGTCCGGGGCTGGGAAAGGGGGGGGTGAAGGAGGGAAGCAGCTGGCTGGGAGGGCAGGGCGCCCCGTCCTTCCCTCCTCTCTCCCTCTCCCGCTCCTCCGTCCGGCGCTCCCCCTAGCCGCCCCGGAGGTGCTCCCCTCCCGCCCTCCCGCCGCTCCCGCTCCAGCCCTCCCGCCTCGCGGGGCGAGGGGGGGCCGCCCGGCGGGCCAGGCACCTCGCGACGGTGTCCAGGAGCCCGAGGCCTCCTTTAGACTTCTAGACAACAGGGGAGGGGGGGCTTCCAAGCCCCCCCCCCCTCTCAAGCCAAAATGGGGGGGAGGGGAGGGGGGGGGTCCAAGCCACGGTGGCGCACGGGTGCGGGGCTCTGTGATTGCGGGTCGCGCGGGCAGGTGGGCCCGGGGAGGATGAGCAGCCCACGTCAGATGGAGGGCTGCTCCCACGATGAGGACGAGGAGGGGGCTCAGGAAGAGCACCATGTGGAGACTCTGGCTCGGCTCACTTGCGGTCTTGCTCGCTGCCGGCGCTGTGTGCCCTGTCCTCCCCCAAACAGTCGCAACTCAGTTTGAAAACACTGAGCTCTCAGCCGGCAAACTTTCCATGAATCATGTGATTCAAGTGTCTGTTCATCACTACACGCGACACGGACACAAACATCATTGGGCGCTGTCAACAGATACCTACGCGTTCGATATTGACGGGGACTGATGAGGGATAACTGCTATGCCCAAGCAAACCACAAAACAACACAACACAGAGAGCAGTTCGGTAAGCAACGCATCCCACGGCGAATGCCACTACGTACGCCTGCCGCGTGCACGAGTGCTCCCTGCGGGAGCATTTAGCAGCACGTTCCATATGCACTGTGCTTCTCCTGCTAACTCGAATACTCAGCAGACAGTTGAACGTAGAACCGAGAAGGCTGGCTTCAGGGGCAACGTTCTAGAGGCCTCTCACATGGGGTCCGAGCAGATGGGGTCGGAAGATTGCACCGGATCGCCGATGTATCGCCGATGCATCGACGATGCATCGGCGACGTCGGCGATGCATCGGCGACGTCGGCGTGGGGAAACTCGGGATCCGCAGCGCCGATGCATCGCCGATGCGGTGCGATCCTCCGACCCCAGCTACTCGGACCCCATCTAGGAAGTCTAGACGTTTGGGGGGGGGGGACTGGCCGGGGGGACGTCGACCCGGCACCGGCGAGAGTCATCACCGGGAGCTCGGCGAGAGGCCCCCGACGGCGAAACCACACGCTCCCAGGCGGGGTGGGCTATCGCGCCTCCTCCTCCTCCTCCTCCTCCTCCTCCTCCTCCTGTCCCTCCTCCTCCTCCCTCCTCCCTCCTCGTCCCTCCTCCCTCCTCGTCCTCTCTCCTCCTCCCTCGTCCTCCCTCCTCCTTTTTCCTGCTTCTTCCTGCTCCTTCCTGCTTCTTCCTCCCTCCTCCTCCCTCCTCCCTCCTCCTCCCTCCTCCTCCCTCCCTCCTCCCTCCCTCCTCCATCGGCGAGGAGTGAGCGAGTGGGGGGGCGTTACGTCCCCCCCTGTCGGGTGCTGCCAGAAGTGCCCCTGGCCCAAGGCGCCCCCAGGATTTCCGAGGCTCCTCCTACTCATCCTTCTCCTCCTCCTCCTCCTCCTCATCCTCCTCATCCTCCTCCTTCCCTTCTTCCTCCTCCTCCTCATCCTCCCTCCTCCCCATCCTCCTCCTCCTCCTCCTCCTCCTCCTCATCATCATCACCACCATCACCACCACCATCATCACCATCACCATCACCATCACCATCACCATCACCATCACCATCACCATCACCATCATCATCATCACCATCATCATCATCATCATCATCACCACCATCATCACCATCACCATCAGCAGCATCATCATCATCATCATCATCTCCAGCTACACCCCAAGCCACCCTATACATTTCTGTGTGGCGGGCGTCCCGGGCGATTCCACCGAAGGCGCAGCAGCGAGCGGACGAGACACGCGGCAGAGATTCGGTTCCACCTGAGATGAGATGTGCAAACACGGCCATCATCAGCATCATCATCATCATCATTAATTATCATCGTCCGCCTCCTCCTCCTCCTCCTCCTCCTCCTCCTTCTATTCCTCCTCTTCCTCTTCCTCTTCCTCCTCCTCCTCCCCCTCCTCCTCCCCCTCCTCCTCCTCCTCCTCCTCCTCCTCCTCCCCCCAACGGCCTCCAGAGCACCCCTCACGAGGCCCAGGGGACGCCAGGTGCTCCATGATTGAACGAAAGGCTGGGGGCACCTTGGGCCAGGGGCACCCTTCGCAACCCTTGACCCTGAGCCCATCCCCCCTCGACGTTGCCCCCGACATGTTCCGCACCTCGGGTGGAGCCGTGCCCTGAGGATGGCCAGCGCCGCTGCTCCGATGCCGCAGGGTGGGGCTGGCGACAGAAAGCAAAGCGTGTCCTTGGTGCGAAGCCGGGGAGAGGGAGCGGCTCCGCGCGTTCGACCACCAGGCCGACCAGGCGGACACCCTGGAGGTCCTCGTCGGGAGGCGTGGGGAGAACATCACCGCACCTTCCAAGCTCCCGGGGCCTCGAAATTGCGCGCTCTGGCGTCTCAAAGATGCAGGAGGTGCCCTTTGAGACGCTCCAGAGGGTCTCTACCATGCCGAAGAGCCCTGCAGCAGATGCAGGATGGCCTCAAGACGGCCCAGGAGGCTCCCGAGACACCTGAAGAAGACCTCCAGAGAACCGCCCCTAGTGTCGACAGATGCACAAAACATGGATTACCCCAAAGGTGTGGCAAATTGTTCTCGCCTTCTCTCGGCGACGAGCCTGGGGGTAAGCGAGAAGGGGCGGGCCTTCTCAGAAGGCTCCCGGTCCTTCCGAGAAGCTCTTTGAGCCTTCCCAAACGACACCGAAAACTTCTCAGATTGCCCGAGGGCGTCTGAGAAGTCCCGCCGAGGAGGAGGAGGAGGAGGAGGAGGAGGAGGAGGAGGAGGAGGAGGAGGGAGGAGGGGGAGGGGGGGGGAGGAGGAGGAGGAGGAGGAGGGAGGAGGAGGAGGAGGAGGAGGAGGAGGAGGAGGAGGAGGAGGACTTCTCCTTCTCACTTCTGCCCCTCGCGCGCCGACGATTCTCGGGCTTTCAGAGCTCCAGGGCGGCCCAACAGGCCGCCGGACCGGCCCAAGACGGCTCCCAAGACAGCGCCGCCACCTCCTCCTCCTCCTCCTCCTCCTCCTCCTCCTCCTCGGGCCCTCTGACGGTCCAAGCGGCGGGCCCCCGGAGCGGCGTCCGACGGGGAGCTAGGAAGGAGCTCCGGGAGCCCACCCTCCCAGGATGGCCCCACATGGGCCCCCCCACCCGTCACATGTCCCCGAGAGGCCCCCGAGGAGGCCCCCAGAGAGCCCCGGGAGGACCCAAAAGGGCCCCGAGAGGGTTCCGAGCGTTCCCAGGCCACGACGGCTCCTATGGGCCCTCATGGAAATCCGCATCAACTTTTTCCACAAATCCCCATCCCTTTCTTTCTGGCCCCTCTGCGAACGAACATCTATGTAACGTTACGGCCACTGGGAGGCCCACCCAGAAACCTCAAAGGCAACAAAGAAGCATCTGTGCGGTGTGTCTCGACCAGAATCCGCCGCCGTGCCGCAGGCGCTGAGCCGAGTGTCCTCAGGTCCCTCCGAGCCCTCGCATTCTCTTGGGGTTCGACTCGTGGCTTTTCCAGAAGCTTCGGGATAGCGGCTGGTCCCCGCACGTCCCATGTGCCCAAAGACCGTCCCAAGGGGCTTCCGTCCTAAAGGGCTTGACTGGAACCCTCTTGGGCGTCTCCTAGGCCATCTTGGAGGCCCTGGGGGCTGGCACGCGGGTGCAAAACACGCACTGCTCTCTGGTACGTTGTCTGCATTTGCGCAGCCCCGGTCTTGAGAACGTCCAAAAAGGCCCCAGAAGCCCGTGCCGCTCCAAAACCAGCCCCGAAGCCCGAACGGGGGAGCTCGAAGGCCCCTGGAGAGTCCTCCCCCTCCCCCACATGGCGCTCTGCACCGCCAGCAGGCCCCACAGAGGCTTTGAGGAGGGGGCTCCCAGAGAATCCTGAAGACTTCTCCGAGCGGACTCCCCCACCCCCCAAGGGACCCGAGGAGGCCTCCGAGAGGCCGCTGGTCTACAACACAGGCACGGTGGATATTTGGACCGAAGGACACGCTCGTGTTGTCCCTCTCTCTGCTCTCTCTCTCTCTCTCTTTCTCTCTGTCTCTGTCTCTGTCTCTGTCGTTGTCGCTGTCTCTGTCTATCTATCTCTCTATCTCTCTTTCTCCTCTCTCTTCTCTCTCTGTATACATATCTGTGTATTCCCTTTTCTATATTTTTGCATTCCAGGGGGGTTGCACCCCCCCTCCCCAAACCCAGAAACCCCGGATCCGTGGCCCCAAGGGCCGCTTGGACGCCCCTTTCGGAGGCCCCCCGATCTTTCCGGAGCTCCTGGAAGCTCCTGCTGAGCCTGCGGAACGGGCCCAAATCAAGAACGTGGGCGGCCGAACGGCGCCATAAGAGCCCCCAAAGGCACCATGGGGCCTTTTGAAGACGCCCGAAGAAGCTTTTGAAACGGAAACATATAGATATCTCATGGTTTTCAGATGACGTTGGGAATGCTCTGTTCTTCGGTCTTCCAGGTGTCCGAGACCGCCCAGGAGGCCCAAACATCGCTCCAAAATTACCGGAAAGGTCCTCCACGCATTCCCAGAGAGCCCCAAAACGGCCCAACAGGGTCCCAAGATAGCCCCAAGAGATCCCCATGACTGTCCAAAATTACCCCCAAATGCCTCCGAAGAATTCCAAATCATGACCCGGTCGTTCAGCGAGACCGCGGTTGGAAGCAGGGTGACCCGAGGAAGCCCCCAGAGGCTCCCAGAAGGCGCCCAGAAGACCTCCAGAATGTCCCAAGAAGCCCCGAAGAACTTTAGTGAGGCCTCCAAGAGGCTCTGCAACGAGGAGCCTCAGCAAAAAGAGCTGAGGGTGGGGAAACATTCGCAGGGTAACTAGGGCGAGAATGAGGAAGTGGAAGAGGAAACATGCGGGAATGATAACGAATACCATTAGATCATATCGACCAGGTCGGAAAAGGCAGCAAAGAGTTAACGCTAAATTGTGAGTTTACCTACCTGCTCCTCCGCCTACATGTCACATTTCAAGGACCGAGGTGCATGGCGCGAGGCGCCAATGCAGTCCTGTATGTGTAAAATAGACAGATCGGTATATCTAAAATCGTTCGGTCTGTGTGATGTCTCTCTCTCTCTCTCTCTCTGGTCGCTCTCGGTGCTCTGTCTCTCTCTCCCTCTGTCTCTCTCCCGCTCTATCGGCTCCTGGTCCTCCTCCCGCTCTCGGTCCCTCGTACACCTGCCGCTGGTGTCTGTTTTGCCTTGTTTTTCGCTTTCGGCTCGGCGTCTTGGCACACGTGCCTTGCTAATTTCCAGGCCTGCTATGCTCCAGCGTCGGAGCCCGCCGTGGACGGGCCGTGGGCTCCCAAGCCTGCCATGTTGCGCACCTCTGCCAGACGCGCGTCAGAACGTTTCTCAGTGACAATCTTCGTCTCTGCGCGCTGGAAACCGATCTCAGCCCCCGCCCAACTCTATGGATGAGCGACGAAACAGAACAAAAAACACGACAGCACGGTTTCTAAACACGCTATGCAAAGACGAAATATGTTTCAACTGCGTTTTCAGCCTGTCTAGGACCCAGGACAGGAAACGCGAAAAGATGCCCAGGACGTCTGTAGGAATCAACACCCTGCTCCTGCTTGTGCTAGTCCTCCTGCTTCTGCTCCTGGTCCTGCTCCTCTCTGCTCTCTTATTTAGATATATACGTATATACGAGTCTGCGTTGGCGCTTCGCGCCACGCACCTTGGTCCTTCAAGCTTCGCATATGTCGGCATGTGGCGTCATCCTCTTTGGCCTGTTGAATTTGGCCGTTCCCTTGCAAGTCCCATTTCCCGTTCCTTCTTCGCCCTCGCCTTCGGTTTACATGTACGCACGCCACCAACATGTTTCTTGGGGTGCCTTTGTATTCGAATTTCGAGGCGGACCCGGTGACGTGGCGACGAGAACGCCACCTGGGGACTCTGAAAAAATGTTGAAACAAAATCGCATGCCTTCTTCGTTGGATCCTGCGCCGGTAAACGTCGTAACGGCCTGCGCGTCGATTTTCGACACCGCTTGGATCGCTCAGCCGTGAACGATCGCGCATTCCCGTTCAACACTGGCCGATTCGCGACCACTGGCCGCGTTCATCCGAACGCCCGCGCAAAAGTCGCCGCCGCGTCGAGGCGACGTAAACCTACTGCTATGGAGGAACAATTGTTTCCTGGGGGTCGTACTCCGGATCCCTTAATAATCGTCCCCCGGGTCCGGTTTATTACGGCGCCTTTTGGGGAAGCAGGGGGGTCCGGTTTATTAAGGCGTTTCTTGAAGCCGACGTTCAGGGGGGGTCCGGTTTATTAGGGCGCCTTTTCGGGTACTAGCCCGCGGAGTACTAACCATCATCATCATCAGCATCATCATCGTCGTCATCGTCATCGTCATCGTCATCATCATGTTCATCATCACCAACATCATCATCAGCATCATCATCATCAGCATCATCAACAACATTTTCAACATCATCGTCATCATCCTCATCATCGTCGTTATCACCATCATCACGATATGATGCGGCGGTGGCAATGATGGTACTTCTGATGGCGATGACGACTATCTCGGTGATGGTTTCCTCGTCGCACCCCAAGCGCGAACATCATCTTGCGCACTTAGGTGCCCCTCAGTTCTCCTTAAAGCCCGCCTTCAAGGCCGCTTTCTTCGTGCAGAAAGCGGCCTTGAAGGCGGGCTTCAAGGGCAAGTGAGAGAGCGCGCATCGTATATTATGCGAGCTGGGGGCCGCTCACGCGAGGCAGAACACATCGTCAACTGCATCGCGCTCGTTGTCACAGTCATCATCTTTCCTCCTCCTTCAATTACTGTCTCCTCCTCCTTCTCTCGCCTCCTCGTCTCACCCTCCTCTTGCCCGTCCTCATTCCCCGGCAGCAGCAAACGGCGACTGGCAAAATGTGTGGCCGGTGGTGGCCACTGCGCTAAAGTGGTCTGTTGTAGACGCACTGCAGGGTGGCACACCAGGATGGTGGCCCGTAGTACACACGTTGCAGGATGGTGGCCCATAGACGTCGTCGTCGTCGTCGTCGTCGTTGTCGTTGTCGTTGGCGTTGTCGTCG